GGGCTATTGCCTATACTTATTACCGGCAGCACGTGAGTTGTTTTAATATTTTTTTATTTGATGTACTGTTTAATTGTTGTTTTGATAATTTTTTGATGTTATTTTTTTGGTTTCCAGATGTATGAAAAGGCAGTTAAATTATATGCGGAATTAGCAGAAGTAGCAGTAAATAGTTTTTTGATTTCAAAGTATTCTCCTGTGATTGAACCAGTTAGGATACATAATGGGGCTGAGGAGAATAAGGAGGCCTTGAGGAAATCACGAGGGGAGGATGATGACGTGTTCCAGATTTTGGAATATCAAGCTCAAAAAGGGAATGCAGGTGCTATGTATAAAATTGGGTATTTTTACTACTTTGGATTAAGAGGATTGAGGCGTGATCATGCTAAAGCATTGGCATGGTTTTCAAGGGCTGTGGAGAAAGGGGAACCTAGATCAATGGAACTTCTTGGTGAAATATATGCGCGGGGAGCTGGAGTTGAGAGGAACTATACTAAAGCGCTTGAATGGCTTACACTTGCTGCAAAGCAGCAGCTTTATTCGGCTTATAATGGCATGGGGTATTTGTATGTCAAGGGCTATGGAGTGGAAAAGAAGAACTACACTAAGGTAAGTTAATTTTGTCTTCATTGTCATCATATTGGCTGAATTTGGTGTTTCTTGTTATTGTTTTGTCAATTAAAGACTGGATTGCTTGCTTACCTGTTTTGGTCTGCTTACGTGGCATGTGCTGTTTTCTCTTTGATATGATAATTGCCTCATCGGATTGAGATTGCCAGGGGGGCCTAGTTTGTAGTTTCTAATCAAGCTGTGAATTTATCCCTGATTATATTCAATAAATTTGTTTCGATATGATCATTGCCTCATCAGATTGAGATTGCTGGGGAAGCCTGGTTTGTAGTTTCTAATCAAGCTGTGAATTTATCCCTGATTATATTTCATAAATTTGTTTTAAATCCTCAGTCTGTTATCTGTGTAGCTTGGCTTCCTTTGCTATCTAAATACTAGTTTTAAGATTTAGGTGATTGGATGCTCTGTACTGGTTATCCAATTACATCAAGAGTTTCAGGCTAGTTGCATGATAACGTAACTATAATATCTATTGTTACATGCAATGGTAAAAGTCTCAACTTTGCAACCACAAGGGTGCAAGTTTGAGTTTTGAGGGTCATGACTTTAGGAAAAAATACAGGATCTGACCATGATTAAGTGATGGCCTTTGAACATTCTGTATCAATGCAATGTATGCACATCTCAAATCTCTCAAAATTTATCTTCTTTGTATTTGCCTGCATGTTGTCATGTTCTTTTATTGCATAGTTTTGAAATACGCGTCAAAGCTATTCCTTTTTTTTTTTTTTACAGGCAAAAGAATACTTTGAGATGGCTGCTGATAATGAAGATGCTGGTGGGCACTATAACCTTGGAGTAATACATCTTAAAGGGATTGGGGTAAAGAGAGATGTAAAGCTTGCATGCCAATATTTTATAGTAGCTGCCAATGCAGGTCAACCAAAGGCATTTTACCAGCTGGCAAAGATGTTTCATATGGGTGTGGGGCTTAAAAAGAATCTTCCTATGGTAAATTTGGTTTCTTTACCTTTCAATGTTCTTACCCAGGCTCTTTATGACAATATGCATCTCAAACTTTTTATGTGCTATCTCCTTTTCCTCTTGCTCCCATAACTCCATGTCTTATTATTCAGCTATTTCCCGCTTTTTTCAGATTAGTGAAGGATCAATCAGATTGCCTTAGTGATTGCTCGCTTATTTTCTCGCTGCTCTCAGAATCCTTGCTTCTCCTGGACATTGTCTTTGTTGATAATTTCCAGGTTTATCAGAGCACTTATATTAGGAAAATCTAGTGACATAATACTAAATAAGTTAAAAAGAATATCTCTTTTCCAAACTATTGAGAGTCCCATGTGGTAATTTGTTAACAGATCAAGTTATTGATCATAATCCTGACAGATGATCCATAAATCTGTATCAGACCCCTGTTCTGAAGATATTGAGTGTTTAATAAGTTTTAATCAAATGTGTAATCTCTATTGCCAAGGTATTTGGTTTGGGATCTACTGGAACCTAGTAATTTGGATTTCTATCAAGTGAATGAGTTTGGTTTGAACTCTAAATCTTCTAACTAATGTAACTTGGCAAGATCCCAAATACAAATGTAACAGTAGCTCATTTTTTTCTGTTCTTTAAATTATTTTATGTTTCTTGCATCTTTTAATTAGAGACTAATAATGACAATCATGCCTAGAATATGAATGCTATCCCACCACCACCGTACAATTAAAGTGAGATTTTGAGAGTAGATATTTTTGGATCTTTGAGAAACATATATATGTGTGTGTGCGCGCGCACGCGCACGCGCGTGCTTTTTGACCCTAAACTTCTAGTGATTGGTGTATGTTTGCAAACAGTTTTAAAATGTATCAATATCTGTATCCCATTTGTTTACTAGAGAGCTTTACTTTGTTCAGGCTACTGGATTATACAAACTAGTAGCAGAACGAGGCCCATGGAACTCCTTGTCTAGATGGGCATTGGAATCATACCTAAAAGGCAATGTAGGCAAAGCATCCTTGTTGTATTCAAGGATGGCTGAGCTGGGCTATGAGATTGCACAAAGTAATGCTGCATGGATTCTTGACAAATATGCAGAGCATAGCATGTGCGTGGGAGAATCTGGATTTTGTACAGATTCAGAAAGACACCAGCGGGCTCATTCTTTGTGGTGGGAAGCTTCAGAGCAGGGTAATGAACATGCTGCTTTGCTGATTGGTGATGCATATTACTATGGTCGGGTAAGTGATGTCTTTCATAATTTTGATGCCTTTTGGTGCTTTTTTGCTCAGTTTCTGAAGTATTTTTTTCATGCTATAAAATTCCCAAATTCTTTTCTCCTTTTTTAGGGCACTGTGAGGGATTATGAACGAGCGGCAGAGGCTTACATGCATGCCAAATCTCAATCTAATGCACAAGCACTGTTCAATCTTGGTTACATGCATGAGCATGGTAAAGGACTTCCATTTGACCTTCATCTTGCCAAGCGATACTATGACCAAGCTCTACAGATCGATTCTGCAGCGAAGTTACCTGTCACACTGGCCCTCATAAGCTTGTGGATAAGAAAGAACTATGCAGACAGCTTCATGGTCAGTGTATTTATCTGCTTTTCATGCTGTCTTCTATAAGCATAGATGTGAAAATTAGATGATGGTGCAACGTAGACATTAGCTTCTATCAATTTATAAGAATTCAACTCTATAAATTGGATAAAAAAATCAACTGATCAGAATTCCTTTGTATACATGAGCCGGTCATGTTCCACTATTTCCCTGTTAATTGTGTCACCCAATGCTTGTTTCGATGTTTCGAGTTTATAGCCACTGGAAAGTCTCCGTCCTAACTTGCTAAAACTTCATCTGCAAAGTGAATGAATATTTAGGACTTGATATGCACTTTATTTCAATTATTCAAATCATGTAGTTTACTGCTTCAAATAGCATGTTTTTTTGTTGCTGATCAGAAGCTTACTGTCCCTTGGGTCTCTGGTGGTTTTCTGTAGCAGAAAATTAGAATGTTGATGCAATTATCATATTATCACAAGATGTTCTTTTGTTTTCTTCCTCTTGGTTGTCAAATTCCTACAACATCTGGTGAAATCTTTTGCCTGCTGTTGGTGATCCTTCTTGCTAGAAATTGCCTTTTATCTCATGCAAAGTTCACCCCACCAATGCAGTCGGTTTATAATGGGAAAAAATTTTGCTCTTGGTTTGCTGAGCAATTGGATGAGGGAGAAATTTTTTTTTTTTTTTTGTCCTGGACAACAGAATCAATCTTTATTGAGTTTACCAAAAAAAATATAATGAGGAGAATAAGAAACTGAAATCTTTTAATTTCCGTTCTATCTAAACTTTGGTGCAAGATTGTTTCTCTCTTTTTTAGTTTCTTTCTTGCAAGTAATATAGGAAATGATACAAAGTATTATTCCTCCTCGTTTTTCCACCAATAAATGTGCTACAATTGGCATTTTGTGGACCTTTAATTTTTAAATATGCTAAAATTGGAACTTTTTTGGACCCTCAATTTCTTAATCTGTTTTAGGGTGCATGTTCCTTTTGATGTATAATGGCATTCATGTGACTTCCTTTATAGTGCAGTTGATTCTGTGAATCTATGCCCTTCTCTCTCTCTCTCTCTCTCCTCTCTCTCTCTCTCTCTCTCTCTGTGGAGTTAGGTCACCATGGGATTCTGAAGCTAAAATATAATTTTTGGAGGGCTAATATGAAGATCAGGCAAAAAATTTAGGGAAGACATTGAATGTTTCACAGCTCATATCCAATGAATGTGAAACTTGCAGATAATGCTTTCTGTAGGAGGGCATGGGGGAAAGATGATACCTGTAGTCAAACATAATTAGTTCGGTATTTAGGGTTGAGTTTCAGAATTGTTTTATAATACTTCTACTAATAGATCCAGTGGTTCTTTGTCTCTGTTTTAGGTACACGTGATTGATTCATTGCCGGAATTCTATCCAAAAATCGAAGCATGGGTGGAGAATGTTATACTGGAAGAAGGAAATGCAACAATACTTACTCTATTTGTCTGTCTTCTTACGGTTCTCTATTTTCGTGAAAGGCAACGCAGGAATGCTGGTGTTGCTGCTGGTGAGGTTGGCATACCAGACCAACCTATTGAGCATGCTCCTCCTGCACCCAATTAGTTGGCAGCTCACCATGATCTTCAAAAACACAAGGCTTTGTTAGTGCTCATCTGTGTTAAGGTAAAGTTCATGTTGCAATTGTGCTGTCATGTGGGAGAGACAAAATTCACATTGCAATGGCATGTACAGGTGTTTAGATCTCTTTCAAAACAGCTGCACTGTTTCTGGTACATTGTACATTACACAGAAGGAAAAGGCTGCCATAAGACATGCTTTTGTCTCACATGTGAAAAGACCATGTATTTAACGTAGGATCATCTGATGCCTGTTTCCGGGTGGCGGACAGATATATTGTTCTTTCATTCAAGAATTCTGCTTGTGATGAGCAATGATTTAGGGGTAATTTTGTGCAACGAATAGCCGAAGTTGATCACTGTGTCTTCCTCTCTTGACTGCAAAATGAATATCTAGCTGACTATTTTCACCAATCTCTGGATGCGTTGTGATTATTTTCCTTTGTTATTGCATCAGTTAGCTTCCTTTGACAGTGCGTACAAGTTTCCATCACTTTTTTGCATCCTCCCAGAAACTTTTTCATTAGTTTGCGTATCTTGATGTTTATAGAACAATCTTAAGGTTATAATACAAACGAATTTATCCACCAAGAGCTGAGCAGCTTGTCTCCATGGCTTTAAGCACCTGACAGTTTTATCTATTCGCGGACAATTCTTGACCGATTGTCCGATATCAATCAAAATAAGGTAAATTAAAGAGAGAATTGCTGCTACTGTATCTTTCTTTGAAACCAAGATGATGAGATTAGGTATCATTTTAGTACTATACTAGTGTACGTGCATGCACCCCGCTCTGGGTTGGATTAAAAAAATTTTGAAGGTGAAAAGAAATGTTTAGGATGAGATTAGGTATCATTTTAGTACTATACTAAGCGAGTTAAAGTTTAAATATTTTTTTACTTAATTTCTTTTTTAGTTCGGGATTAAAATTAACACCTATGTTAAAATTATTTTAATGTGATTTAGTTAATTTAATGAATTCAAAAATAATCTAAATGACTAATGAAAAGTATAAGTTGATTTTAAAAAGATTTTAAGATGATATTTTTATTTTAATATTAAAACAATTATATATTGGATTTACTTGAGTTTAATGATTTAACTTATCAAACTTGTAATTTAAATCATGGGTTTTATTATATTTAATAATTTTTTTTTACTTAATGATATGATAATACAAATAAACACCGGTAAAATGGAATATCGGTCAAATACTGAGTTATTTATTTAAGACTATATGATTTAACCTATCAAATTTATAATTTAAATCATGGGCTTTATTATATTTAACATTTTTTTTACTTAATGATATAATAATACAAATAAACACCAGCAAAATGGAATATCAGTCAAATACTGAGTTATTTATTTAAGACTATAATAATCTTATAAAGAAAATAATAAAAAAAATTAAAAAAAATTATGAAGATTAATTTAAAATGAATGAAATATTAAAGGATAAAAGTTTTTTATCAGAAAAAAAGGCAAAACAAACTCAATAGAATAAAAAAAATTAAATAAATTATGAAGATTAATTTAAAATCAATGAAATATTAAAAGATAAAAGTTTTTTTCAGAAAAAAGGGCAAAACAAACTCAATAGAATAAAAAAAAAATAATTTTTTTATATATAAAAAAATGATATGGTTTTCCTCTACTTCTTTTAATTTTTAGGATGTGATAAAAAAAAAAAAACAATGATTCATTATAGCTTGTGGGATAAATCATTATAGTCGCACAATGGTTTCTTTAATTTTTGACCTCTTATTTTTTTTTTTCATTTTGATCATTTAACATTGTGTTGATTTAGGATTGGTCTTGGTGATTTATTTCGCACAATGGTTTCTTTAATTTTTGGCCTCTTATTTTTATTTTTTTTTCATTTTGATTATTTAACATTGTATTGATTTAGGATTGGTCTTGGTGATTTATTTTTTATATCCTTGTACGAGAATCTCACAAAGCTGGCAAAATGTTTCATTGCTAAGTTAATGTTTTGTTTAACAAAATAAAATTTAATTTTATTGATTTAAAAGAATTAGAGCTTTGAGTATTGAAATAAGCTTAAAAAATATTCACCCCTTTCCTTTTTTTTGCTAACATTAATGATTGATTTAGAGCTTTGAGTACTGAAATAAGCTTAAAAAATATTCACCCCCCTCCTTTTTTTTGCTAACATTAATGATTGATTTGGACGAGAATGGGAAGAGGTTATGTCCTTTTTTTTT